ACACAGTAAACAGTAACTAGTCCGTCACCAGTGATATCACACACAATAAACAGTAAACAGTCCGTCACCAGTGATATCACACACAGTAAACAATAACTAGTCCGTCACGAGTGATATCACACACTGTAAGCAGTAACTAGTCTGTCACCAGTGATAACACACACAGTTAACAGTAGCTAGTCCGTCAACAGCGATATCACACACAGTAAACAATAACTAGTCCGTCACCAGTGATATCACACACAGTACAGCAGTAACAAGTCCGTCACCAGTGATATCACACACAGTCAATAGTAACTAGTCTGGCACCAGTGATATCAAACACAGTAAACAATAACTAGGTTGTCACCAGTGATATCAAACACAGTAAACAATAACTAGGTTGTCACCAGTGATATCAAACACAGTAAACAGTAACTAGTCTGTCTCCAGTGATGTCACACACAGTAAACGGTAACTAGTCCGTCACCAGGGATATTACGCAAAGTAAACAGTAACTAGTTAGTCACCAGTGATATCACACACAGTAAACGGTAACTAGTCCGTCACCAGTGATATTACGCAAAGTAAACAGTAACTAGTTAGTCACCAGTGATATCACACACAGTAAACAATACCTAGTCCGTCACCAGTGATACCACACACAGTAAACAATTCCTAGTCTGTCACCAGTGATATTACGCAAAGGAAACAGTAACTAGTTAGTCACCAGTGATATCACGCAAAGTAAACAGTAACTAGTTAGTCACCAGTGATATCACACACTCCGTCACCAGTGATATCACTCACAGTAAACAATACCTAGTCTGTCACAAATGATATCACCCACAGTAAACAGTAACTAGTCTGTCACCAGTGATATCAAACACAGTAAACAATATCTAGGTTGTCACCAGTGATATCAAACACAATAAACAGTAACTAGTCTGTCACCAGTGATATCACACACAGTAAACGGCAACTAGTCCGTCACCAGTGATATCACACACTGTAAACGGTAACTAGTCCGTCACCAGTGATCTCACACACAGTAAACGGTAACTAGTCTGGCCCCAGTGATATCACCCACAGTAAACGGTAACTAGTCCGTCACCAGAGATATCACACACAGTAAACGGTAACTAGTCCGGCACCAGTGATATCACACACAGTAAACGGTAACAAGTCCGTGACCAGTGATATCACACACAGTAAACAATACCTAGTCTGTCACCAGTGATATCACACACAGTAAACGGCAACTAGTCCGTCACCAGTGATATCACACACAGTAAACGGTAACTAGTCTGGCACCAGTGATATCACCCACAGTAAACGGTAACTAGTCCGTCACCAGTGATATCACACACAGTAATCAGTAACTAGTTCGTAACCAGTGATATTACACACAGTGAACGGTAACTAGTCCGTCACCAGTGATATCACATACAGTAAACGGTAACTAGTCCGTCACCAGTGATATCACACACAGTAAACAGTAACTAGTCCGTAACCAGTGATATTACACACAGTAAACGGTAACTAGTCCGTCACCAGTGATATCACACACAGTAAACAGTAACTAGTTCGTAACCAGTGATATTACACACAGTAAACGGTAACTAGTCCGTCACCAGTGATATCACACACAGTAAACAGTAACTAGTCCGTAACCAGTGATATCACACACAGCAAACAGTAACTAATTTCGTGTTACATTTTATTGTAGATAAGATAGAAATGATCGACTCGAGAGTTAGCGTTTTTTCTCTCAACATGTGATGGTTGGAAAGTAAACAAATAATGTACAAGAACGTACACGCTTGTGAGATATATACAAAACTCTATAAAACAGTGCGGTAGGACATCCCGTCTTAACGACGCTTCCCTACTTCCTGGTCTGAAAACAGAAAACATCTGCCACGTGAACTTTCATAATAAAAATATCTGGTGACGGACTGGTTACTGTTTACTGTTTGTGATATCAATATGAACATTTATCAAAAGCACAGAAATATACATGTGACTTCAATACACTTTGTAATTGTTTGTAAGATTGTAGGAAGAAAGGATAAAAATAGCCTAATCATTAGCGTGTCCCCGCTGTACAGGTAGTGATATATATATATATATATATATCACTACTATCATGTATATATATGCAGAAACATGTCGGCTGGTACAGCCGTGCAGGAGTGCTCACTGGGCCTGCTTACCCTGGGATGCAAATCTAAGGCGGAGTACCTATCTGGAGGTTCCATTATTTCGGATTACCTGTTGTCACCGAATGCTGCTGTCATTGAACGACTCTTTGATAATTTTTAATGCGTTAAATGGATTATAGGTCATCATAAGAGTGCAAATAGCTGGGATTTAGCTTGCCTGGTGGGGTACGAACGTAGAGACAAATCACGGCCCTAGCACCCCATATCACGAGCTCAAGGATGAGAGTCAAGGCTTTTCACATGTTCGTAAGTACATTTACCTAGGTCACTGCTTTATTAAGATGCAAGGTTAACAATTAACTGTATAGAATATTAACATTGATAGCCGGTATATGAATAGGCGGCATGATTCAGGTTTATTACTCGACAACGTGTCGGGGTTATAAAACAGGATATTACACATGTCTATTTCAGCCCCAGTGTGTTTTCGTTACAAAGGTCACTCAGATTATATAAAACATATCAGGGAAACGTTTATTTGCAATAAAAGAAAAATCAGATAAGAGACTTGACAAGGATATTTGCATATCTCGCATGGGTTTCACTGAGTATATTAACTATTACCCAGGTTCCATGGATAGGCGCTGTTAATTTATCGTGTGATTTTTCATATGACAAACCGTTATAAGCCGAATATTTGTAAAATGTAGATTTCAATCTAAGCTCATAATTGAAACAATAGAGTTTACATAATTTCACTTATGAAAGTCACTGCATCAAATTAATTACTGAAATGATGCCTGCTACACGGCGCAAAGAATTATTTCAATCTGATTAAAATCACACCTCTCAAAACCGCTTCGTTACCTACGCGTAGGAAATGGAATGGTATTTGGATGTATTATGTTGATAAGATTGAGAATTACGTATAAACGTTGCAATAACAGAATGTTGTAGGAGGGATTATCGCGCTGTTTATCCACATGTTAAACTGCACTACTACTGTCTTTTACTTTTGGTTGAATAATATACCGCTTATAATAATAATAGTAATAATAATAATAATATACAACATTTGATATAGCGCCCTATCTAGCTAACATAAGCCACTCTAAAGCGCTTTACAGTACATAGATATACAATTTAATACATAATTTGTTTTATAAGAATAGTTTTTTTACGAGACGCGATGGTGTAAACTATTGCAGGGTATTATGAGGTTTTACTAAAGTGTTTAAATAAATAAATAAATATACAACATTTGATATAGCGCCCTATCTAGCTAACATAAGCCACTCTAAAGCGCTTTACAGTACATAGATATACAATTTGATACAGTCAATACAATTAGCATATATATTAATCAATGCAATATTGAGGAATTCGCAGGAGCTGCCTTATCAGGCGTTAACTACTAGTCCTATGACACCTGGCTAATATCTCCCTATGTGTGTATGCCTGTGTGTGTGCTGGAGATGTATTGTTAACAGTTTAAAACAGTTGAAAGGCTAAATAGAAAATCTGCGTGAGGCCATATTGAACTCTTGAGAATGTTCGGTATGAATAGATGTTTGAACACGAGTTAATATTTATGTATTAACGCTTTAAATCCTTATTAATATTCAATGTGAATCGATATCGTAGCACTAGTGAATATCAAATATGGATCAATATAATTTAACTCCTTGTTAAACTGTAATGGTGGCGAATTAATCACTACAGCGAATATAACTTAACAGCATACTAAATATAGTAATAAAATGAGAAGGGCGAAATTAACACCGGGCAAAAATTAAATTCATTGGCAAAAGGCAAAAGTTTGACTGGGCAAACATTTCCCGGTATACAGTAGTTAAATACCAGTGGACATTCATTCAAAACAAGAGAAACAATAACACAATAACAAAAATCGAAAAAACCCATGTTGAATTGTTTTGTTTTGAAAACTTCATTTTTCAGATTTTGACATTGTTTTTTTACCCATGTGTGTTATGCAGTTTTGGTGTAACAGGATGGGGCTTGGCCTTGATCCTTTTCAACGTGTTTATAAATCTTAACTCTCATAACTCATTAGCTTATCAACATTTATGCGAGTAGTATTAATCAATGCTATTTATTGAGAGGATGATATTTCAATGTAAATATTCTCAAAAGACGTAAAGATATATTGAGTGTTTCCATTAAGTTTATTCCCCGCCATGCATTTCAACTACTGTAGACCGGGAAACTTTCGCCCATTAAAATATCCTCTCTTTGCCATTAAAGTCCTGTATCGCCCAATGTAAATTTCGCCCTCAACATGTAAATACTATGAAATAGTGTATGCTGTGTACTAATGTAAACAGGAAGGCGAAAAAGGCTAAAGTTAAACGGTGGCCAATTTATTCCGGTATACAGTAATGTCTATGTTTGTTGCCATGTAAACAATACCTTTAGCTGTATGGTTTCTATAAACACAGCAAATGTTGTATGTTTGACCTACATTTACCAGTCTATTCATACGTTTGTTCATACTTAATTTATAATTTCATTCAAGAAATATTCATATAAATTAATACCACAATGTTGTATATTAGACCTACATTTACCAGTTTATCCATACGTTTGTTCATATCAATTTATAATTTCATTCAAGAAATATCCATATAAATTAATACCACAATTGTTTCTGATATATTATCTTTAAAAGTGTGTGTGAACATGATGTTCTATAAATAACCTAGACTTTGGACATGCATGTTTTCTCATTGTGACCATTTAGTAATGAGATACAGCGTCTCAGTTTCCTTTGTTCTCCAAGTGGTTTTGTAACCGTAGCTGAGCCTAAAATATCACTCCCGCTGATAAATCTAAACGCTAAACATAGACACAATGTATATACCCATGTATTGTTCATTTGTAAACAGATATCCGATTAACATATTTTTATGGCCAGTATTTAGACCTTCGAGGACGGACTTGTTAACACTTTGTAGACAAGCAATTTGAAACTACCGAGTAAATATGTTAAATAATACCGTCGGCCTTTAATACAGACGTGACGATTTGGTGATACATGTATCATATATTGTAACTGTTTATTGCAAATACAACGCAGTAACTGATAAGTATATTATACAGACGTGACGAATGCTAATATCATATATTGTTACCGTTTCTTGCATAGACAACGCAATGCATTATTGACATATGATCGTACAGAACATTTTTTCCTGTCATGGTTTTCAAATTGATTATGGCTGCAACAACAACAGGGACGCGTGGGTTTGCTAACGTCCTGCTATCTGGATCATACGAGTATTTATGATAAATTGCTGGTATCAGAAAAATGATGTACCAAAATCGAAAAAGCATATGGACAAAATCCGAAAATAGTGAAGTAACAATTGTTGTAATAATGTAGGTAAATGTGATAGAGTTTAGTTGTGAGGAGGCATTATTATACCTAAGGTAAATGTCATAGACTTTGATGGTGTGAAGACTTTTATTGTAAATACCGTTAATAAATGATATTGAGTTTTGGATTTGAGGTGACCATTTTTCTCATACCATTGGTAAATGTCAAGATATTAAGCTAGCTAATAGGAGAATTCTAAGAATCATTAATTTCAACATCCGGGGGATCTATGAAACAATGAAAATGCAAATGATTTTCATTTTTGTCATTCCATTACACAAAGTCATCAAATTTTCGGAATAAATGAAGAAACCGAGCTATCATTTTAAATCGTTTGTTTAATACTCATTGTTAAATATCTAGAATTAGGATCCCAACTCAGATCTGTAGGTATATTATTGTTTATACTGTAGTTAAATGTCATAACGTGAGGGTACCCAAAATAGAATTGTATTCAAAACGGAGCACTTTTTGATATTTATTACGAAGTCTTATTGTTTTTCACAAAAATAAAAAATAAAATCTGCCAAAAACAATATATATAAATAGTTTGTATCAATTCAATGAAAAAAATGTTAACCACTCTACCAACTGTGTGTTGTTCATGTACTAAATTGAAAAAAATAAATTAATAAAAAAAAGGACTGAAAATTTCCCTGAAAATCGTTCGACAACATAAATATCGTATCATATCTTTAGAAGTGGAAACAATATTGTTCGTTCATATGTATATTTCAATGAATAAATGACTTAAAACGAAGAGAAATATTTCAAATGCTATCAGTTATTTTCTTAACCTATTATGACGACGTGTTAAGTGAATCTGACCCAACTAAAAGAACTGTATGTATAGACACATGCGCTAGTTGTACCAAAGAAATACATCAAACGAAAGCTAAAGGCATGTACTGTTTCAGTATTGCCAAACAATTGATGTTAAGACATGTAATAGGAAATATTAATAATATTCTTTAAAAACAGTTCTTATTTGGATACCCTCACATTAGAATTGGTTGGTGAGGGATCATACATTGTTATACTGTTCGTAAATGTCATATAGTTCGGTAGTAGGTAGTAAGTTGGCCATTAATGTTAAACTGTAGGAAAATGTCCTTTCATTTTAAATCGATTTTATTGTATTTAAATACATTTGGATTAAGCACTGACATCGGCTATTCCGTCTTTGCGTATTGCAGAGTTACCTTCTCTTGGGATGACGTTACTCACACAAACAGGTGACGTAACAATCAATCCCTGCTCGCAAGAGAAGATAACTCTGTAATACGCAAAGACGGAATTAAAGCCTTTTTCCAGAACATAGAACATATATTTCAGACATTCATACACACATACATATATAAATGTATTACAAATAGAACCTGCTAATATAAGATATTATAAATTGTAAATATATATTGAGATAAAAAAAGAAAACTAAAACCAATTTGCTAGAACATTGTTGCATACACACAGACATTAACAATTTAAACGCCAGAGCTATAGTGTTTGGTTAGACGCACATTTATACTCATTGTCACTACAGCCAGTGCCATGCTAACCACTAACCCCAGATAAGTAGAAATGATATAGAAAAGATGTTTACAATACAGAATAGGATAAAATCTTCAAGAACTTTCAATATATTCGAGGACAATAGAGAGAATACATTTATTTGCTTCAATGCTCAGGTTCATATCTCCATCAGTGAATATGTGAGTATCAATGATAATATTGTCAATCTCTTTAGTTATACAGGAGATAAATGTCATAGAGTTTGGTAATTAGGTGACAATCATTATCATACTATATGTACATGTCATAGAGTTCGATAGGGAGGTGATTATGTAAGTCCATGTCATAGAGTTTGGTAATTAGGTGACCATCATTATCATACTATATGTACATGTCA